ATGAAGATGTATCTTTTGAATACAAAATAGCCTGATTTTTTTCAAATTTTTATATTGAAAATTGAGCCTAGGAAAAATTATTGAAATTTTCAATAATTTTTTAGGTTATGTTAATAATTTTTGGCTAACTTTTAAATAGTAATTTTTTGTGTATTTTTCTTTGTTCTTTTGAATTGCCAAGGCAAAATTTTCAAATTCTGAGCGGAAAGTATCGAAAAATAAAAAAAACCGTTTTTTTACTCATTTATTTGCACATAACCTTAAAACTCAGTTGTTAATTGAACATTTTTCAACATTTTTTCTTTCCACATTATCAAATTCTATTGTATAAGTCCCCATTTAACCCTTTCAAAAGGATAAAATTCGAAAATACCACGTTATTTATCCATTTCGCACTTTTTTACCTTAACTCAAAATCAGATAATTAGATGTATGCTTTTCCATCTATGCTCTTACGGGCTATGAATCATCATTGTTAAAATAATCATTTTTAACTTACAAATTCTTAAAATGCGAATAAATCATGTATTTATAATATTTTCCCACTTTATTGGCTCATAACCTTAAAATGTAGTAGATAAATGATCGAATTTCCGTGTATTTTTGATTGTACCGGGTACCCTTCAGTATTATTATACCACTTGTCTTTTTTTTTCTTATATAGTCAATACTCGAAAAAAAAACATTAACTTTAAGATTGACCCTTCCTCAACAATTGTATTTATCGTTTTTAATCGCATATCCGTTGCGAGTTAATATCGAAAATCTCGAGTCGTATTAAAATTCTCGAAGTAGTTGGTCAAATCGAAGTTTAGAGTTGAATATTTTAACTACCATATATCCTATAGGCACGCGTATCCATATCGTACTCTATGGGCTAACACAGTCAAAGCGATACGAAGGCAACGGTGAGTCGAAGGCGACACGAAGGCGACACTAAACGAAAGCAGTGGCGACATCAACAATGTCTGCTACGCGCATGATCTGTAACCATGACAACGACAATGGGAGTATGCGCGTTGCAGACTTTGTTTCTGTCGTTACTGCTTTCGCCTTGGTGTCGCCTTCGTATCGCTTTGACTGTCTTAGCCTTATTATCATCTAATCCTCTTCTTCTAAAATCCGTTACAGTATTATCAAAGATCTTAAAAACTATCAATCACATGGAAAAGTATCGAAAGAATCAGGTATATTAAAGTTATCGCATAGGTGCGCGTATGAATTCACCATCAGTTGCGATACTTGCGATTATCTCGAACTCAAATTATCAAAGTGCGATATCGTCAGAGGTTGATTTGTGAAAGTTAAATTGTGCTTACCTTATACTAATATCAATTTCAGTAAGTATACGGCGATACCCTAAGCTATGTTAGAGCATGTAATTATATAATATTGTTTTTGTTATCACACGATCAAGAATTTGAGTTTTAGTAGGTTAGCTAATGAAATATATTAGCTCCTATATTTTGCATCAATCATAGTTATTCAAAAGCTAATATTAACATTGTATTTGATTGATTTTTTCATTTTCAGAAGACTGTACATTTGTAATTATTCTATAATCTCATCCGGGTCATGAATTTCAAACTATAATGTAAAATCCTTTTTAATAGAATCAATATAGAAAAATTAAACCCGCTGGCTATCATAATAAGCTAGCAAGTTTACTTAAGTTAGATTAATTTAAACAAATAGAAATTAAATATGCATATGGATGATTCTCTGTCAAGTGAAAGTCAAAAAAACTTTTTAACTTGTCGGACCAACTTGTTTTGATTTTTGATGGAACATATTTACATCACCAAAAGAGTCAAAATAACGATTATCAGAGAAAGTCGTATTCAGGTCAGAAAAAGAAACCCTTGCTCAAACCTTTTACTATTTGTACTACAGATGGATACGTTGTAGATCTCCCTGGTCCATTTTATGCCACTGAAAATGATGCAACCATCATGAAAAAAGTAATGGATGATCCAAATGGTATAAAATCTATCATGAAAAAAGGAGATGTGTGTATCGTGGATAGATGTTTTAGGGATGTTGTACCTCACTTAAAAAGCCTTGGCTTCAAGATTCTTATGCCTGCCTCAAAAGGAAAAAGATCCAATTTGACCACGGCTGAATCAAATGAATCACGCTATGTAACTAAATTGAGGTGGGTCGTAGAAGCCGTTCATGGAATTCTTGGCAAAAAATATAAGCTTCTTCATCAACAATTAGATAATAAACTCTAAACCAAAAGCTGGTGCATATTGTAAAATAGCATGTTTTATTAACAATTTATTTGGTAAGCGTTTGAATAGTGATCAAAATGATGATGGGTTACAGGATATAATAATCGAAAGAATGTTAAAATCTAATCAAGGTGAGAATACTTTAGCATCAGAAGCTGAGACAGCTAGGTGGTCAAGACGTCCTTCTACAACGACTAAGCTGACATCGCAAGAAATTATTAACTTTCCAGAGATGACTGAAAGGGACCTCAAAATTTTTTTTTTCGGGAACCTATCAGTTAGGTCAAGCCATTTGCTATTTGGCTGAGTTGATGGATGATAGTAATAACATTAATTTGGAGTATATTACAATGAAACCAAATATTATTAAAGTACTGATAAGATCCAGGCATATAAGCAGTAAGACCTATAAATGCTACATTGAGTATAAACCTGATTCAATTGGATATGGTGGTATTTTGCGTCACGCATGTGACTGTGCAAATGGGTTACGCACTGTGGATTCGTGTTCTCATATAGCCGCAGTTATATTATATTATCTCAGTAATGCAAGATATAAATCGAGAATCATAATACCAGCAAAAATTCTGTCAGAAATTTTTAAATCTGATGTTGAACCTGTCATAGATGAGAATAGTGATGAGGACTAAAATGTAATTGAATGTTTAAACTGTTAATTTAAATAACCTATTGAATAACCATTTCGTAATAATAAATATTTTTGTAGCCAAATATTTTATATATGTCCTCGTTTATATCCAAATGAATTTATAAAACAATTTTTACAATGTTAAAAAAATATTTGAAAAATAATAATATTCTTGTCCTATTGAGGTGATCCTAGATCACTTTATGCTATTAACGAGTCAAAAATAGAAATAATACTTGGAAACCGTTTTTTTCAAGTTTTGACTATTTAAGAAAAAAAAAGAAAAGTGGTATAACAAAATTGAACTGTGCGATCAAAAATACACGGAAATTCGATCATGTAGCTACTACATTTTAAGGTTAAGAGCCAATAAAGTGGGAAAATATTATAAATACATGATTTATTTGCATTTTAAGAATTTGTAAGTTAAAAATGATTAATTTAACAATGATGATTCATAGCCCGTAAGAGAATAGATGGAAAAGCATACATCTAATTATCTGATTTTGAGTTAAGGTAAAAAGTGCGAAATGGATAAAAACGTGGTATTTTCGAATTTTATCCTTTTGAAAGAGTTAAATGGGGACTTATACAATAGAATTTGATAATGTGGAAAGAAAAAATGTTGAAAAATGTTCAATTAACAACTGAGTTTTAAGGTTATGTGCAAATAAATGAGTAAAAAAACGGTTTTTTTTTATTTTTCGATGCTTTCCGCTCAGAATTTGAAAATTTTGCCTTGGCCATTCAAAAGAACAAAAAAAAATACACAAAAAATTACTATTTAAAAGTTAGCCAAAAATTATTAACATAACCTAAAAAATTATTGAAAATTTCAATAATTTTTCCTAGGCTCAATTTTCAATAAAAAAATTTGAAAAAAATCAGGCTATTTTGTATTGAAAAGATACACCTTCATGAATTTTTTCAGATTTTTTAAAGCAAAATTGCGTCCAGAAAAAGATAAAGTCGAAAAAATCTTCTTTTTTAGATTTAAGCGGTTCCGTGGCCTCTGGAAAACTAAAAATTTGTATGAAGTCATGTTTTTATACACTTTATTGAAAGCACAGATCGCGCTGCTGATCGGTGCGGGGGCACTTTTGACCATCTTATCCCGCTATAGCCTTTTGTTCTTTCTTCATTTTTGCATTCCTTTATGTACCTACTGAGATCTTGTCTGGCTCGATGTGTGACTTTTCTCCATTTCTTCTTACCTCATTCCTTTTCTGGCCGTCTAGCCCAATCTTCTTTCTAGTAGAAAAAGATATGGAAGTCTTTCTTCCATATCTTTTTTTACCTCCTGATTCCATTTATTTTTTGGCCTTCCTCTTTTCTTTTTTAAAGTTATAGTGTAGTTTCAAAAAAAAAAGAAAAAAAATTATTGACTGTTATTGATGGAACTGTATCCATCCAGTTTGTAATTATTGTATCCGTAGAAACTAATTGTAATTTTATGGCCAACTGGGAAAAAACTAGTATTCATTTGATTTGAACGTACTCAAAAGTTTGGGGGGATTTAGGGATGCACATCCCCCTTAAAATTCTTCTGTTCGCTTAGATTTTGTTGTTTCTTTTGTATAAAAAATGCTTTCAGAACAAGAAAGTAATGTGTCCATTTTTATTACAAAATGTCAAGTAGTTTAGGAGATAATGAAAAAAACAATTTTTATTTTGCAACTTCAAAGGGTTGTAACTTTTTTTGGTACACTTTTGTACTAAGGTAAGTTGGATTCAATGAATTTGTTTTTGTCCCCGGAATGCGTGATTTAATTTATGACATACCTTTTTGAAACAACCTGTATGACGAATTAGATATAAAAATTCCCGTCTATGTAACTTTAAAGAAAGTCTTTCTATTATATCTGTTCCGGATTCATTTCTTTTTTAGAAGTTTTTAATTTATTGGTTGCAATACTTAAATTAAAAATCCTTTCTCCAATTCCTTTACATCGATTGCAGAATCCTTTACAGTTCATCTGGCAACAATGCTAGGATGACCTGATGTAATACCGTTTTGCAGATTTTGATTGGCTCGCGGCACCCGTGTGTTTTTCGTATTCGCGTGGTGCGTCTTCACAACACTTGTTGAATTTTAGACTGACTGAATAATATTTTTCAGTCGATGTTGGGAAACTGCGCGTGTCAGTTCAGTTCCGTGTTCTGGCGTTGACGTTTCGTTTTGGGAAATAGAAAAACATCAATATTCGATTAAATTATAAAACCTATAATTCGTTTTTTCAATAAGTGAATGTTTTCCGTTAAGTTGTGGTGATAGTCGGTGAATTTGTTTAGTATAGTGAGCCTTACACAGTTTTTAATTTATACCGAATGATGTAAAGTAGAGAGTACTGAAATTTAAGGTTATATTACAAACGTTTATATTTGCATCTATTTCAGAGAACCAGTTATATTATTTTTAATGACATGATATATAAAATACCAGCTTTTGTTAAGTACAGTCCTTAATTTCGTTTTTACTGTTTAGACTTTTGAATAATTTAAATTTAATTAATGCATCTTACCATCTCCCAAAGTGTGTTAGTAATACCAAACATTGTTGTCGGATTTTGGCCTTTAAATGGGATGCCATAAGAATACAAATTACTATTATTATATTTGTTGTAAAAGACAACAACAAAATCCCAGTGATTTAGATAAAAATTCCATGTTAGTAGTTAGATTTTAATGCCGTTTCTATTTTTTTGGGAATAAGCCACAATTTAAGTCTAAAATAAGTTTTTTTTGTCTTTCTGGTGCCTATGAGCCATGTTCTTTGCCATAAATGAACCTGGTATATTATTTTGTAAAACGGAAACGAGTATTTGAATCTATGAAAAAAATAAACATTTTTGATTTTCATTGGCAGAGTCGTAACTATCTGAATTGTCTATCCAAATAATTAGAGGCCGGACCTCATCTATAACTCGCTCGGTTTGAAAAGACTGCTACGATTATGTCTTCCGTATGTCTAATGCAATTTTGCCATTGTTTTTGGCTATACCCCAAACTAACTCAATTGCATTATAGGGGCAATAGTAGGGCGGAAGTCGAAGAACTTTATGACCATATTTAAGATCCATTTGGTCAGTAACAACTTTCTTGTGAATTTTGTGCTCTCCACACTTTTGAAGTAAATCGACTTTTAAAAATATGTCACTGTGATAGATTTTCTTTTCTGTCAACCACAACTGTATTTCTTCTTGTGGTAGGATGCATTATCCAACACTATTATGGATGATCGCCCTAATTTTTTTAACAAAATTTTCTTCAAATCATTCTTAAAAATATTTGCATCCATATTTCCATAGTAATCACCTGTATTCTTTGTGGACGAAAAAACTAGTGTCAGGAATAAAACCCTCGTCATTTCGAGCATGAAATATAATGTAGCGTTTACCATTACCGGAAGGACTTTAAAAATATCAGTTCGTGGTGCCATCTTGCCAAGATAATTTTGACATATTTCCTTTAGCGAAAAGTTTCACCTAAAAATATAACTTTTCTGAGACCATCTGACGTTTTATTGTTCATGTATTTTCCTTAAAAATGCCACCGTTTTAAAACAACATTAGAGATAGGTAAAGAAAGAAATAATAAATAAGACTTACTCACAATCAATTTAATTTAATTATCAGACGACCGGTTTCGCTTTCTACAATATGCAAAGCATCTTCAGGTCTCGATACAAAGTTAAACAAAGTTAAACGAGACCTGAAGATGCTTTGCATATTGTAGAAAGCGAAACCGGTCGTCTGATAGTTAAATTAAATTGATTGTGAGTAAGTCTTATTTATTATTTCTTTACCTATTTGAAATGGACTCACACAAGCAACACATTCATGATTTCAACATTAGAGAGTTCACACAATACTTGTCTATTATTTGTCTTTTTATATCGAAAACCTAAATGTTTCAGCATTCTTCACAAACTTGTTAAACCAATATCATACTGTTTCTTGTCTATTTGTGTGTATTTTTTTGTAACAAAGCTCTAACTGTTACATGTTCTTTGGCTTTATACATATTATATATAATATTTTTAATTGCAAGTTTAATTGACTTTTGCAAATCCAAAGTTTTTGGATGTCGACGATTTCTCTCGCTTACTTTATTTATTTCATCCTCACTCATGTTATTAATTCTTCGGAATGTCCTCTCTGAGATACCGCAAGCATCGCATGTGCGTTTCTGAACTGCCACAACAGATGTCAATGGACCCATATTATTTTTTTTTTTCAAATTGAAATAACTTTTGACTTTTAGAACTAAACGCCTTTCTTCTGGAGATAACACTCTACGTTTCGACTGTATTTTATTTTCTTCCAAATCACTCATTTTGCTTTAAAGCACCGCTTCACTACATTACTATAAAAAATAGGTACTTATACCATGCGGTCCATATGTATGGACTAAATTCATTTTTAGCGGTATTATCTACTATGTGAAAAAAACCTGAAACAGGTCCATTTTTATTCTTAAATTGACAATTAACTATATAAAAATATTATCCCCCTCCTGCACCCCATTTGAATTATAAGCACTCCCTCGAAAATTTTAAATAACAAAGTGGGTCGTGTGATACCTACCTTGTTAGAAAGGGATTTTAGTTCTGTTCTGTTCAGCAATATAAAGTTTTTTAAGTTTGGTGCAATCATAACTGAGAGGAGTTTAGTGAAATAGCCACCAAAATAAAGTAAACATTACAAGTATTTTAGCTCGCCAAGCGATCATGCAGTAATAATTGTGAAACAATACGAGTGGTACCAAAAATTACTGGCTATATGGCCGAGACATACTGAAATATTCCACTATATTGCATAACCTAATCGTTATTGTTGGCAATATTGTTGCAGCCACATAATATGTGGCTGCAACATTATTGCAGTAAAATATTGATCATTTAGAGGCATTTTTAACAAGTGACCCTTTCGCTCATCTCGGGTATTTTTTGACAGATTCGTTGTCAGTAGACACAATACAAAAATTCCTATCTGTCATTATTAATAGCTCAAAAATGTTACGGACTTCTATCATTGAAGGAAGAAGAATAATTATGAATAATGGCAGTGTATATTTTTATTAAAAACTTTTTAATTTCTAAATTTGTAAATACTCATCTATAAATAATTATCCAATTTAATAAAAAAACTTGTTTTAATTGATGCAGTTTTATTTTGTTAATAAACTGCATTTGAATCTATTCTATTTAAATATTGACTATAAGAACTTGTACTTGGTGTTATAGTAGTAGTTATAGTGGTAATGTAGTCAAAAATAATTACTAAATTTACTAGACAGTTGGGATTGGAATCAGCGAAACAAATATATCACAATAGGCAACTTGCACATTTTTTTTATTATATAATAACGTTCAGTTTCATTTAAAAATAAGATTTCCAAAATTTCACGCCTCAAAAACTCATAATGACTTAGCAATACAAATTTAAAATCTTCCGTGTATAAAAATCATTTCAAACAATCGAAAAAGCTCGCGAACCCTTGTGACGTCACTTGGTGGTATTGTCTGTATGTCAGGTCTCCTGTCTTGTATAAAAGTATAAACTATTTTGTTTATATTGGTGTTTGATACAGTTTTTGAATAGAGAGTGTTGAATTGTGTGTGTTTTTACTATGGAAAGTAAAAGTAAATACTACAAGTGTTGTTTAGTACCATTGTGTAAAAGTACAACCATTAAAACCCCCAACAAAATATTTATTAGATTACCAGTGCAGTACAGATCATGTTATTTCTTTTTACTTGAACCCATCCTACAGCTGCATCTCCATATGATTCTCTGCCAGATCTAAATGCAAACGATGAATAAGTTAATTTGATTAAATTTCAGTACAATAGCATAAACATATAATATTGACACTACTTAATATAAAGTACTAAGTTTTATCATTAAATACTTATTATGAGAATAATAATCACAATAAAATTAATGTAATAGGAGTATATGTACTTACTTATCTGCTTTAACTCCCCGAACTTCTCCCAGGGAAAAATTGTCACCGTTTTGAAAATATGTGGCTACCATAAACATATTTACAATGGGCAAGTTATCAGACTGGCCTTTGGAAAAACCCTCTTCGGTCATTTTAAAAAATATATCTGAACAAAAACACTCAAATATTATTAAATATATAGTTCACAGCAACTATCTAAAGATTTATAAAACTGAAATACACCATAAAATTACTATAACAAGTAAACGAATGTCAAACGTAATGAATTAATAGTGCCAATCTTTGAACATTCTGACTATATGACGTCACGACCAATGAGGACGCGTTTTGGACTGGCTGCTATAATTTGAATTTTCTCTCGATTTTAATCGTTTTTAGAGGCCAAACTAAAGACAAAAACAACTTTTTTTCGTTTGATATATATTTTAAATTATGTTTTGTTATGATTTAAGGCATTTTTTTCGAATTTAAAATTTTATGCAAGTTCCCTATTGATTCTAACATCGCGAAAACATGTCTACAATTTGACACTTGTCAAAATGACATTTTTTCAAGCGTAAAGGTTAAATCATAAAATAGATAATAGTACAAAAACCATGTAAGTATTGAATTATTTTTGTTGATCATTCTGTTGTCATTTACCTTAAACTAACTTACTTTATTTAAATAATGTATACTTTCTGCTGATTGCTATTTATTTAAAATTTAGTTTTTCGTTTTGGTTTCTCTTGAGAATTTTTTTTCATTTTTAAACATATATTTATGTTAATTTTGTGACTATTAGAGCAATTTTTCAGAAATTAAAAAAAAATAGACATAAATAGTTCTGGGCATGAATGGGTTAAGCTGCCGAGGATCCACATTTCAAACTTTGCTGGTTAACACCCTCTTCTTTGGTAACCAGAACTATAAATTAACTTTTAGTTGCCATGAACCATTTACAGTACTGGTTGGACACAGTATTTAATAACGTAATCTTCTGTTATAATACCTTTACCCTTCTTTATTTGTAATCTAGTTTCTAATCTTATGCGAATCTAGTTCCTCACTTAGTAATCTTAAGTGAACCTTATTCTTAGTTTTACCAAAACTTGAAATTTTGAAGCTATTTTAATATGAATACTGCACGAGATAAAATAAAACGCGGAAAAATAACTTTCAAGTTATCATTCAATAAACAGTTTATTTTGCTGATAACATTTGTTGATAATTAAATTCATAGTAAAATATTACGTTAATTCAAACACAAATAAAACTGTAACACCTGAGGCTTAAAGTCTTAATGTTGGTGTAGCGCAGTTTGCTAAAAATTTTAATTAATCAAAATTTAAATACAGGGTGTTACTTATAAAGGTATTTCTATTTGAGTGGGATTCTTAGATCAATCAGT